CCTTTCTTTTTTTTTTTTTTTTCCAAGACAGGGTTTCTCCGTGTAGCCTTAGCTGTCCTGAGGCTCACTCTGTAGCCCAGGCTGGCCTCAAACTCACAGAGATCCGCCTGCCTCTGCCTCGAGAGTGCTGAGATTAAAGGCGTGCGCCACCATGCCCACCCAGCCTAGCAGCCTCTTTTCTAAAGTTCCCATTTCCCTCCTATAGGGTCCGGGCAGGGCCTAGGCCCTTTCCAGGAAGCCGTGGGAGGAGTGCTTCTGCCCCCTCCCCCTCGCCCCACATCTGCTTAAGTGCTGCTGGGATATGTCAAGCCACAGTCACCCTCCAGGCTGGCTGGATCATTTTGGAGGTTTCTTTATGAGCTCCTCAGTCTCATCTCACCGACCTCATCTAGGGGACTGGGCCCCTGCTGTTCCTCCTCACTGTGCCCTGTGCTTGGCCACAGGGGTGTGAGAAGTGGGTGCAGACAGGAAGTGGAGGGCTCGCCCACAATGAGGGAGGAAGAGGCACAGCTGGAGAGACATATGAGGTCAGTGGAGAACTTTAGCTGAAAGGGAAGTGCTGGCTGAGGGTAAGGAACCAGCATAAGGGGGAGCTAAGGCACGCACGCGTGGAAGGGTCGGCGGAGGCGTGGCCCGCAGGACTGCGCAAGATGAGGAAAGAAAGGAGCAGATGGTTCATTCGGTGGCAGGAAGTTGAAGCTGGTCCATTTGAGGTCTGCTGGGATTGAAGATGTAGAAGTGAGAAAAGAGATAAAGCAGGCCTAGAAGAGAGAGGAGGAGTGAGCTCATGCCAGATCAGGCAAAAGGTTGAAGAGCCCGCGGTGGGGGCGGAGACAGCGGGACCCAAGTCACGTGCTCGAGCCGTGCTTAGCAAGGTGTGAGGCTGAACCAGCCTGATGGTGCCATGCTTGAGGGATACCAACTCACTAGCTGTGTAGACGTAGGTCTGGGTCCTGGGGTGGGGTTCAGGTGGCATAGAGAGAGGCCCGAGTGCTACTGCGCCAGAGGCTGGATCAGAGGCCCCACACAGAAGTGGTGATCATGTAATGCTAGAAGCTGGGACCGCTGGCTAAGCACACAGAAGCCAGTGTGGGTGCCTGGAAGAGATTCAGATTAGGGAGGAGAGGCCTAGAGACGGCAGAGGGCAGGGCAGAGAACCGAGGCAGGCAGGCAGCCTCTTCCCCATTTCAGCTGGGACTCTTCATATCCCATACTGCTCATAAAGCCAGACAGAAACAGCTCCGGGAGCAGCCTGTACATACACTTCATCTCTGCTGCTCCCGATCCCCCAAACCACACACTGTAAGTCAGATGGCTCGCTGCACGGAGTTCAAGCCAAGTTCCCTGCGCCCTCAGCAGATTTCTGTTCCTAAGATACTTGTGTACAGGTACTTGGGCCACTCCCGGAACTCAGTCCTCCCAAAAATGCTTACTGCGCACCTACTGTATGCCAGGCGATGTCCCAGGACACAAAGGAAAGGTGAAAACCTGGTGATACATCCCGGTGGAGAAGGAAATCAACAAATGAGTAGAACAGGTGTTCAAAGATGGCGCGTACAGCCGCGCACAGTAATGCACACCTGGAATCCAAGCACATGAAAAGCTAAGGCAGGAGGATTACCACGAGTTCCAGGTCAGCTTGGGCTACAGAGTAAGACCCTGCCTTGAAAACACAAACAAAATGGGCCTGGTGTACAGCTCGGTTAGCAGAGGGCTTATGGAGCATCCACGAAGCCCTGGGTCCATCCTCAGACTGCATAAGCTAGGTGTGGTGGCTCACACCTGGGAGGTGGAGGCAGGAGGATGAGAAGTTCAGAGTCATCTTCAGCTACATAGTGAGTCTGAGGTTAGCCTGGGCTACAAGAGTCCTTGCCTCAAGGAAAAAAAAAAAGGAAGGAAGAAAGGAAGGATGAAAGAAAGAATGAATTAAGAAAGAAAGAGATAAAGAAAAAGGAGGGATGTGGAGGGGAGGGGGTTCCTGAGATGGCTCAGCAGGTAACGGAGCTAGCCCCCAAGTCTAACCTAAGGTCAATCTCCCAGACATGCATACTAGGAGGAGAGCACCGAGTTATTCTTTGACCTCCAACACTTACACCATGACTCTCTCTAGCCACATGTGTGCACACGTGTAAATAGGTATTAAAAAAGCACACATATAAATAAGTAAATGTAATAAAACATCTAAAGGTGCTGAGGAGAAACCTATAACAGATTGAGGAAATCCCACACATAGGTAGCAGGTGGTGATTTTAGCTGGGGTAGCAGAGGAAGGCCTCCCATGGACGATGTCGTTTGAGTGACCCTAAGGAAGAGAGGTCTGGGTTCTTCATGCATATCACACATGCCCACAGCAGGAGCTGCCTGTCACCGTCCGCCCCCCGCCCCACACTTCACACGGAGTCAGGAGTCACCCTCACTTTGATACCCTTCTAATGTCCTTCCCAGGCCAACCTCAGACGCCTACAAAACCCTCTTCCGCCTACATGGGTGGGCCCCAGGCCAATGAGGTCCACAGTGGAGGCTGAGAGCTGTTTGATGAAGGAGATATCCTGACCTCTCTGGTGCTGGGACTCCAAGTATGTACCACACTTGGCTACAAGGTTTGTCTTGACGTTCTACTGTCACGTGGTGTGCGGTCCAGGCTTCCCTGGATCTGGGTGTGAGCTCAGGAATCCGGTGGTGGGAATGAAGAGCAGTTGATAAATGGTCTTGGCATAAACTCCACAAGGTGTCTCGGGTCCCAGGCTGCACTGGGGTAGAACCAGTAACTAAGTAGCCTATCCCAGGGCCTGGTGTGACCAAGCATGTCTCCCAGTGAGCTTTCTCAACATAGCCTGTGGCAGCCTGGCAGAGGAGTAGGCTCCCTGTCAAGGGGAGGATGCAAACAGGAGCCAGACACGCCACTGGAGAGGCTTCAGGGGTCTCCTCTTGGGGGAGAAGAGGGGTCTCAGTCAGATGATCTTAAGGCCTATCTGGTTCAGCCGGTCCAGAACCCAGAGTCCTGTCACTGACCCCTGGGGGGGGTGGCAGTGAATGTCTTGTCTCTGTTAGATGGGCTCAGGCCTCAGGAGATGCTAAGGATGTTTAGAGCAGGACCTCACTTCTCATGAGAAGTGAGGGGTCCTCCGAGGCTCCCTCTGGTCCAGCCTTCCACAGAGAACTGTACACGGAGCCAGATACCTTCGATCCTCAGTGTCTTCACCCACAAAAACACTCAGTGTGGGTGAACAGTTCTTCCTAAGGTTGGGGCTGGGGAATCATGCAGGCTTAGAGGTACAGTTCCTGTGCTCATTCCCCTAGCCTCCAACAAATACATCCTCAGTCAAGATCACTCAGTGGGTAAAGGTGATTGCCACCAAGCAACCCGAGCTCAGTCTCCAGGCCCCACATAGAGGAAGGGGGAGACTGATGCCCAGAAATTGTCCTCTGACCTCCACATATATTCACACACACACACACACACACACACACACACACACACACACACACACACACACACACACTGAACCCAATAACACCAAGGATAGAGCTCTGTGGCTTATCTTCATGGACAGATTCATTCATCCAACCTTTCCCAGGGTTCCCAGGGAACTGGAGACCCAAAAGCAAAGTCGATCTTGTCTCCAGTGTCTCACACAGTTGGAGGGGGGAGGGAGTAAGTGTGTCTGATCCAGGCCCCATGGGCCCTGACTCTTAACCTCCATTGTCCTAACCTATTCCTGGGAAGTGGTGCCATGAGGGGCCTATTGTGTGCACTGGCAAACTCCTAACCTCTTTGGCTTCAGGTTTCTGATAGGGAAATGTCACTTCTCTTCCCAGAACAGACTTTATCGTTACTCAAATCTGCATTCAGCTCCCAACTGGCCACTGACTCACTGTCACCTCAGACATGTCACCACCTTGTCTGAGCCTAGTCATCACGGTGACAAAATCTGAGAGACAATCATTTAAGGATTTCTTTCGGTTCACGGTTCCCAAGCTTGCCATCTCTTGGCTCAGAGCCACGGGCCTGCAGTAACGCAGAAACGGCATAGAGAAGGTCATGGCGGAACAAGGCCGCTTCCCTGGCGGCAGCCAGCAGGTTGAGAGCGGGAGGGGGAAGAGGAGGAGGAGAACAAGACCCGTACTTTAAAATCTCACCCTCTTGACCCACTCTCTCCAACCGGTCCCTACCTTCTAATATCCCATCCAACGGGAACGGTGCACGAGCTAATTCATAGAGAAGGTCAATGGCCTGGCGATCCCGTCACCTATCTAGAGTTACCAGCTGGGGACAAAGCTTTTAACATATCAGCTTTGTCGGGAGACACCACATCCAAACAACAGCCCCCCGACTCCTCATCTGCAAAGTGGGACCAGTAAAGCCCATCTCATGTAAGATCCTGGTACCAGAGCTTCCACTAATCAGCCACGAAGTTATCAGTGAGTATCAGGGAAGATGGGGCTCAAGGAGGAAAGTGACCTCTCTAAGACACACAGCAGGTGGAGCCCAGATGAGTTCCAGGTCCCACCAGGAGCTGCTGAGATGATAGCGGTCACTCCGAGAAGCTCCCTGGCTGCCATCGTGTCCACCAGACAGTTTTGTGTCCCCACCTGCCCTCCCGTTCTAGTTTCCCAGGCAGAGATGATGGGCTCCTGGACCAAAACTGTGGGAGAGGAGCGGGAGGCCCCACTGCAGATCAGAACTACAGGCAATGGTGATTTAAAACTATATATTTAAAGCAGAGCAGCGGTGATGCACGCCTTTAATCCTGGCACTCAGGAGGCAGAGGCAGGGGGATCTCTGTGAGTTCGAGGCCAGCTTGTTCTACAGAGTGAGTCCCAGGACAATCATGGCTGTTACACAGAGAAAACTTATCCAGAAATACACACACACACACACACACACACACACCACACACACACACCACACCACACACACACACACACACACACACACACACACACACACACAATTTAACTATGTGTATGTGTGTGCATATGTGCACATGAGTATGGGTGCCTGCGGAGGTCAGAGGCATCAGATCCCTGGAGTCGAGTCCTAGGCAGTTGTAAGCACCTGATCTGGAGACTGGGAACCAAACTTTGGTCCTCTGTAAGAACAGTATAAGCTCTTAACCACTGAGCCGTCTCTCCAGGCCCTTCTTCTATTCTTATTTTCTTCTTTCCCTCCTTCCTTCCTTCCCCCCCCCCATCCTTTTTGAGATAAAATCTCATGTATGCCAGGCTGGCTTTGAACTCACATAGCTGAAGATGACCTTAAAACTTTGGCTCTTCCTGCTTCCATCTCCCCATGCCTGGGCTATGTGGCACCGTGGACTGGACCCAGGGTTTTATGAACTTTAAGGAAGAACTAACAGCTACATCCCCAGCTCTTCTTTCTATGCAGCTGAGAATGACCTTGAACTCTTAATGCCCCTGACTCTACCTCCCAAGTGTAAGGATTACAGGCCTGCACCACCATGCCTGGCTTTGGACGGCTGATATCAAAGGACAGAAATCCAGGTCTAGTGGACTGAGGCAAAGTAAGAATTTATAAGCATGTACCACTACAGTCCAGTGGGAGGCTGAAGCCTCAGGCACAGCTGGATCCAGAAGTTCCACGGTGTTCTCAGGGGTCCTGTGCTCCCTGTCCTGTGCTCACTGCCACCCTTGGGTTCTGACAATGCCCTCCCTCGTGGTTTTATCTCCAGGACCTAGCACCATGCCTGGCACACAGTCCCAGCTTTGCCCTCCCTCGTGGTTTTATCTCCAGGACCTAGCACCATGCCTGGCACACAGTCTCATGCCTCCCCGCTTTGCCAACCCTACAAAAACTCTTCTCCTTCTCAACCATTCTTCAAAACTCCCGCCTGGACTTCCAGATGCCCAGTGGGGGAGTCTCACCACCCCTGAGGTGGTCACACACTCCTCTCACGCGGGCAGGTCACTCTCCCACATCCTCCGGGCTCTGAAATGAGGCCTCCTCCAGATCCACCTGCACGGCAGGGCAAGTGCTAGACCCGAGCCATCTCCCATCACCACCCGAAGCCTGGTTCCTGGGGGATGGACAGGTCTGGGGCACTAGTGGTCTGCAGCCAACCACAGTCCTTACAGCTGAGCAGCAGGCACTCACTGGTCCTGAAGTCACTGGGTCCACAGAGAGAGGAAGGGATGGGAGAGCTGGGGGTCCAGGCACAGAGCAGGGTGCCTCCACACCTTTATTGGAAGTGCTGGGTGGAGGCAGTGGTCCCAGAAAGAGGGCTATGGACCAAAGGAAACAGAGGAAGGGGGCCCAGACCCAGGCTGCAGCTGCCTCTTCGTGCTCAAAATGGAGCTTTCGGTTCCACTTGGTCCCTGCTGGGCAGAGGGGGAAGGGGAAGTAAAAGAGAGAAGAGAAAGCAGATCCCTGTCCCCCCTGCAGCCCTCTGCTGGGTTTACAGCTGTAGCCTGGAGGGATTCTAACTGTCCTAATAAGGATTCTGTCCCTTGTCCACTGTCGTCCAGGTGCCGGGGACTGGCATCAGGAACCAGCCTCAGGCTGGCTGGAGGTAGGCTCCAAGGCCCTCAGGCTGGATGCCACACAGAGTCAGGGCTGGGTGGTGCCTGGAGAGGGCATAATGTCTCTGCAAGGAAGGGAACATGCTACCATAAGTTTCTCAGACTCAGAGAGGGTGGATAGCTGGCCCTAAGCCACACAGCAGGCTGATGGTGGGTCTCAGCCTGACTCAGATGAAGGAAGCCAAGTCTTGACCCCACCATCCTGTATCTCTGCTGCTAAATTCACGGGGCTGGGGTACAGCAAGGGGGTTTCCCGGCAGGGAGGCAGTCGGAAGCTTGGAAGCCTCGTCACAGGTCCCGCAGCAGCAGGGCATTGCTGGTAGGTGGTGACTCAAGTTTCCAGCTCCTGCCCCTGTCCCACAGGCTTCCTCGTCCCTCTAGACATGGAGGGTCAGTCAAAGGGCATCCTGAGACCCCAGGATCTAAGTAGCACCAAGAGCACGGAGTCAGTTCTTCCTGATGTTGGCCTTCAGTCGATGATGCTGCAGAACTGTCCTTGTAGTTGTGATCTGGACTAAGTAAGAAAAGGAAGCAAGTAGAGGTTGTCCCTCGGTGGTGTGAGGGGCTTCAGTGTTTCTGCTGATGGTGCACTCAGGTGCCTGGGGTAGAGATGGGCGGAAGATGCCTGGCATCAGGGCAATAGTCCTGGCTGGACACTCAAATGGCTGCGGTGAGCCACATCGCGAGGGTGAGGATCAGACAGAGGCCTGAGCTTGTTGGGGTGTATAAATAGAGGAAACCTTAGGAGGGCCAGAGGAACGGGGCTAGGGACATGTCCCGGGCTTGCTCAGTGCCAACCTGACGGGAGGAGGTCCCCGCGGCACCAGCCTTGTCCTCGTCAGCTGTCCACTAGCGCCATCTCATGGCTGCAGGCTCTCATTGCAGGGATGACTCCAGACCCTGGAGGAGCCACAACCATTTCGAGGTGTGACCCAAGCCTTGCCCCAGGGCCAGCACCCCATCTTCCTTAGGCCTTCAAAGTGGCCTCATCCCTGACTGACCCTGGGTCACAGGAGACAGTCCTGGGAACACCACAAGAAGCTAGCTACTGGGAAGGAGGACAGATCACGGAGCCTGCTGGATCTCTTGGCACACACACAAATACACCGTAGGTGCCCCATTTGTACACAGCTGGCCAAGTGTTTACCTGCAGCTCAATCATGATCTCACTTTGGTTCAAAGGGTTGGCTCCCCCTGGATTCCATAGTCCTGTGAAGTGGGCTTGGGGTAAGCTAGTGCCCGGATGACCTCTACATTCTAGAAGCTTCTCTACAAGTGACAGGGTAAGAAGTCCTGTCTATGGTATCCCGACATGCAGGTGGCAACTCTGATGTTCTAGCCAGCAGCTGAGAGAGGCAGATGGGTGTGGGAGCAGAGCAGGATGCAAGCCCTGCCCCCCACTTACCAGTTTGACATCCATCCCCTGCACCGCCCTACCCCCACTGACTTGCCTCAGTGGCTCCCCACCGGAGCCCATCTTCAGGTCACCCTCTCTGAATGCTGCCTCCCCCTGAAGAACAGTGGGACGTCACCTCCCACCCTCCAGTTGTTCCAGCAGCTCCAGGGATTCATTTCTGTGCCCATCACCACCCCCACTCTCATGAGCCTGGGTCTCTGTGTAGAAGGGACTGAGACTGCTATAGGGGGATGTGGGGGGAGCTGATGGCATACAGTAGGTGCTTAATAAAGGCTTGTGGCAAAAAGGACACGTGGGAAGGAAAGCGTGAGAAGTAGCTGGGTAAGCAAGTTCCGAAGTGGATTGCCATCTCGAGAGAGGCACTGACAGGAATGTCAGGAGAGGACCTACCAAGTGGGTGGAGAACGGAGGATGGGTACAGGAGGGCAGGACCAGAGAAGTGAATGGATTCCTGGTGACCCAGGTGTGGCAGCTAAGGGAAGGACCGGGAAATGTCATAACCCATCTGCCCATTTAACAGATGAGAACACTGAGGGAGAGCTGGGTGGAAGGCATCTGCTGGGTCTGTAGGGCTGGGTCTGCTCACCTCCCCCCCATCCCTCTTTCTGTCCCCTTGTCCCCTCCTCCCATGGCTGGAGAGTTCTGGGAAGGATGCCTTTTGTTTGGCTCTGTGTTCTTCCAGTCTGTTTCCGCCAGGCTAAGGTGTGGGGGGTGGCAGGGAGGTGCCTCCCCTAGGGCTATTTCAGTCAGAGCCAGCAGGGTCAGGAAGCAGAGGAAGCTGTCCAAAGTCACTTCAGAGATGCTACAGCGTGGCTGAGGACAGGAGCGTGGGCAGCCCCATGTCTGAGGGTCCTTTGCCCCAACACACTTGGTACCATTGACCCGAGATGGTGATGAGATGCTGCCTGTGAGTATCTGTGTCTTGAGGAAACAGGCCAGTAAGGGGTGGGACAGGGGTGGCTGGACCCCTTGGCAAGCTGGGTGGAGTCTGCTCAGCTGGGGACTCAAAGGAGGGATGGCATGGGCTCATGAGCTTGGGGGTGCTGAGGTTATGGCTAACCGAGGTGGACTAGGAGCGAGCGCATCTGTGAAAAGATCAGCAAAGATGGACAGGCCAGAGAGGATGCTAGGTCTCAGCCGCACTGGCCGTTGGGAACAGTGGGATGAGTGAGGAAGAGCAGGAACACTCAGCTCCCTTGGTCCTCAGAGACAGAGCGGAGTATCATCCGGGGAGTGGATGATGCCCGAGGTCTACTCAAAGGCTTTTTCTGCAGCTCTTGCTCCTTCCAAGGAGATAGTCTTAGAAAGACCAGTCTCCCCAGAGGCTGGAGAAACAAGAGGCCACTACAGTTTCCTCCATGTGTGGCCAGAGAGCTACAGCCCCCCTAAGGAAGGACAGGGGCACAGCCCCTTCCCACCCATGCCTGTCCCACCCTGTCCCCACTTGGGTGTCCTACTAATGAAAACTACTCCTACTAATGAAAACCCTCCTCAGCCGCCAGGACCTTCATTCTCTTGGGAAAGCTTTTTATTTACTTATTAACATTTACATCTAGTTTCCATTTCTGATGCTTGGCCAGCTTGCCTTCTGATTGGTTCCATCTCTGTGACGCTTGGCCAGCCTGAATCCTGATTGGTTCCCCCTTGAGAACTGGAGTTTCACTCTGGCCACCAGGGACCACCTCCGGCTTTTGCTTGTTTGTTTTGGTTTGGTGTATTTTTATAATTTTTGTGTGTCTGTGTGAGGGTGTCAGATCCCCTGGAACTGGAGTTACAGACAGTTGTGAGCTGCCATGTGGGTGCCGGGAATTGAACCTGGATCCTCTAGAAGAGCAGCCGGTGCTCTTAACCACTGAGCCCTCTGCATGGGTGCTTGTGCATGTTCATGTGTGTGCAAAGACCAGAGGCATTGGATCCTTTGAAGCTGGAGTTACAGAGAGTGGTGAGCCTCCTGATTTGGGTACTGCAGCGGTAGTGAATGACCCGAACTGCTCCAGCCTCCCCACCCCCACCCGCTAAGGTCGACTGGAAGGAAGTTTCCCGCAGCACCTGAGTCACCTCTCCTGGGTTACAGATAAGCTGAGACTGAAAGAACGATGGCTTTGAAGGTGGAATTCAGGCTGAGGACGCTGGCGTTTCCCTCGGGGAGCTCTCGGTGTGTGCACTGTCCACAGGGGTAAACGAAGCGCCACCAGAGCACTCTGTCCTGGACCCAATCTGCCTTGAAGACGCGGAGGAACACCAAACCTGGTCTTCCTCCTAAAAGGTCTTCCATCTGCATGAGACAGGTACACACCATTACCGCATCCCTACCCCCTAGGGAGCTCCGGAGAAGTCCCGTGTGTGCTTCTAACCTAAAGACAACATTCCCTTATTCCTCCGGTAGGGGGAGTGAGGAGGTAAATCCCCACCCCAAGATCATGTGGGCAGGAAGCAACACAGCTGTGATTTGAACCCAAGCCCATCAACGCCCCCCTCACAGAAGAGACAATTGACTAGGGTTGTGAGGGATGAATAGAAATTCACTGGGAAAAGCTGAGAGGAAATCAATACTAGAGAAAGAAAACGGCTTTGATTTCTTTCAAGCTTGAGCTTTACTGGAGCACACATTTCCATGATATGAGATCTGAATGGATCTTTGTGGGGTGATGAGCCTTAAGGGGTGACCAAGTTAAGGACTTACTTGTTCAGATAGTTGAAGGCCACTGATAGCATGTGTACTACTTCCCCAGCTTCTCCCGGCATAGGAAAAGCAGTTGGGCAGTTATGGAGCAGGACAATGGCACCATCCAGGCGCCTGGCTTGCCGCCCACCACGTGCGTCTACCGTGAGGATTTCAAGCGGCTGCTGCTACCCCCGGTTTACTCAGTGGTGCTGGTGGTGGGCCTGCCACTGAACATCTGTGTCATCGCCCAGATCTGCTCCTCCCGCCGGACCCTGACCCGTTCAGCTGTGTACACCCTGAACCTGGCACTGGCAGACCTGCTGTATGCCTGCTCCCTGCCCCTACTCATCTATAACTACGCCAGAGGGGACCACTGGCCTTTCGGAGACCTGGCCTGCCGCCTCGTGCGCTTCCTCTTCTATGCCAACCTCCACGGTAGCATCCTGTTCCTCACCTGCATTAGCTTCCAGCGCTACCTCGGGATCTGCCATCCCCTGGCCCCCTGGCACAAGCGTGGGGGTCGCCGCGCTGCCTGGGTGGTGTGTGGAGCCGTCTGGCTGGCTGTCACAGCTCAGTGCCTGCCCACAGCCGTCTTCGCTGCCACGGGCATCCAGCGCAACCGCACTGTCTGCTACGACCTGAGCCCACCCATCCTTTCCACCCGCTACCTGCCCTATGGCATGGCTCTCACGGTCGTCGGCTTCTTGCTGCCCTTCACAGCCTTACTGGCCTGCTACTGTCGCATGGCCCGCCGCCTGTGCCGTCAGGATGGCCCAGCAGGACCTGTGGCCCAAGAGCGGCGCAGCAAGGCGGCCCGTATGGCTGTGGTGGTGGCGGCTGTCTTCGCCATCAGCTTCCTGCCTTTCCACATCACTAAGACCGCCTACTTGGCTGTGCGGTCCACGCCTGGGGTCTCTTGCCCTGTACTGGAGACCTTCGCAGCGGCCTACAAAGGCACTCGGCCCTTTGCCAGCGCCAACAGTGTACTGGACCCCATCCTCTTCTACTTCACACAGCAGAAGTTCCGGAGGCAGCCCCATGAGCTCCTGCAGAAGCTCACCGCCAAGTGGCAGAGGCAGAGAGTCTGAGGCCCCAGGGCAGACGCCGAGGCACTGGCAGCCGCATATTTACCATTGGGACCATGGTGCCAGAAGCTTTCCCCACAACCCGAAACCATACAGAGAGTCAAACTTGGTTCAACAGGCCTGGGTCTGGCCCTCAAGAAGTTCTACGTCAACCACGAAGCTACGACACCGATGTCTCGGGGTGGGGGTGGGGGCTGGTCAATTCATGCTTGTTATCCCAGAACTCAGGATGCTGTCACAGGAGGGTAACAAGCTCCAGGCCAGCCTGGTCTGCATGGTGAAGCCCTGTCTCAGACAATCAAGAGTTGGGGCTACAGCTCAGTAGCACATAACTAGAGTGTGCTAGCCCCTGGGCTTAATCCTTAACACTGCAAAATCCAACGAAGGTCTTCTCCCCAGCCTTTCTGTTTACAAGGGGAGGGGTCTGCTGGTGCACGATCACTAACGCAAAGGCAAGGTCTTGATCCCTGGGACCCACTTCTTACAAGGAGGAAGAGCCTGGGGGAAGCTCGTGTTCCCATCCACTTGCCAAAACTTTTGCATAAAAGAGATAAATAAATGTGATTTTGTGGGGTTTGTTGGTTTGCTTTTGTTTGTTTCTAGGCCATGTCCCCAGTCCCAGCCAAAACGAACCCTTTAGTCAGATTTCGTCACCCCCTAGGTAAAAGCCAGGCAGTGGTTTAATTGGGATAGCGGTCAAGATGTAGGCTGGAACCTGAAGGAAACTAAGAGCCACTGACGGGTTGGAAATAACCAGGAGGCATCTTAAAGATGGCTGATAACCTGGGAGGGTCAGCCCCAGTGTGACTTGAGGCTGAGTGGGAGTACATACATGTCATAAAACAGAAGACCAGATTACCCAAAACCACAACAGGGATATTCCATCCTGGCTTTCACAGTGCCTCCTAATGGCAGGGATACTCCATCCTGGCTTTCACAGCGCCTCCTAATGGCAGGGATACTCCATCCTGGCTTCCACAGTGCCTCCTAATGTCAGGGATACTCCATCCTGGCTTCCACAGCGCCTCCTAATGGCAGGGATACTCCATCCTGGCTTCCACAGCGCCTCCTAAAGGCAGGGATACTTCATCCTGGCTTCCACAGCGCCTCCTGATGACAGGGATACTTCATCCTGGCTTCCACAGCACCTCCGAATGTTTAATGCTTACACACTTTTGCCACAAGCACCTTTGTCCATGAGTTCCAAAGCCACACAAAAGTTCATCAATACTGCCAATCCCTGGCTATCCATTAAGACGATGGATCAATACACTAGAATAGCTCATGCGTCTAGAATTAATTATGCCAACATGCAGCACTTAAGCCTTAGCAGTATAATATTAAAGAACAAGAAGTCTCTCCAAAGTATAAAGAACTAAAGCGGGGCACGATGGCTCACAGCACGTGGGAGGCCAGCTCAAGCCACACAGATAGTTGAAGGTGGGCCTGGACTATGACACTTGGTTTCTTTGCCTTTATATATATACACATATATATGTGTGTGTATATATATATATATGTGTGTGTGTATGTGTGTGTGTGTGTGTATAATTTTATTTATTGTGTGTGTGGTGATCAGAAACTTTCAAGAGTTGGTTTTCTTCTTCTAACATGTGGGCCCCAGGGATCAAACTCAGGTCAGTCTTGGCAACAAGTGTCTTTACCTGCTGACCCCATATGTATTTCAAAAAACTAAAGCAATTACAGAAGTCTATAATTCTAGCTACTTGAGGGGCAGAGGTAGAAGGATTGAGATCAAGGCCTGACAAGATTACAGAATGAGTTCGGGGTCAGCTTGAGTAACTTACTGAAAACCTGTCTCAAAAAAAAGGGGGGAGGGATGTGTGCTGGCGATTTAGTTCAGTGGTATAGAACTTGTCTAGTATGTATGAGGTCCAGAGTCCAATCCTAGCAACACATACATATACTCACACACAGAGAGCAATGAAACCAAGTGAAACTCAGAAGCATCCAAGTGGGACATGGTGACACACACCTTTAATCCCAGCACTTGGGAGGCACAGGCAGGCGGATCTCTATGAGTTTGAGGCCAGCCTGGTTTATATAGCAAATTCCAGGCCAGCCAGATCTACACAGTGAGACCCTGTTTGAAAAACAAACAAAAGAGGAGAGAGATGGCTTGGCAGTTAAGAGCACTAACTGATGTTCCAGAGGACCTGGGTTCAATTCCCAGGACGTCCAGTGTCCGATCATGCCAGAGTTTGGAAAAAAAAAAAAAGGAAGAATGAAAAACAAAGAGAGAGCTGGAGGGGTGGCTCCGTGGTTAAGAGCACTGGCTGCTCTTCGGGAACATCTGGTTCAATTCCCAGCACCCACATGGCGGCTCGCAGCTCTCTGTAACTCCAGTTCCAGGGCTTCTGACACCTTCATATAGACATGCACGCAAGCAAAACACCAGTGCACATAAAAAAATAAATTATTAAAAAGAAAAACTAAACAAACAAAAAATCCAATACGTGCCCATAATGATCCTCAGAAACTAGAGGCTGAGGCAGGAGGACAGGAAGTTGACGCCAAAACCAAACCAAACCAAAAGCAACAACAAAACCAACATCAACAAAAATACTAGAATGAAAATAGTGTGAGGACTGTGTAACTGCAATAAAATCAAGTAAGACAAAACTGGGAGCTGGAGAGATGGCTTAGCAGGTAGGAGCACTTACTGCTCTCGTGGAGGACCCAGGTTCGGTTCCCAGTACCCACATGACAGCTCATAAGTGAACCCCTCTTTTGGCCGCGTTGGGCACTAGTCACACTCATGGTGCACATACATACAGACAGACAAAACATTTATTCACACACACACACACATACTAGAGTACCTCTTAAAATAAAACAAAAAAGCCAGGCACAGTGTTGCATGTAATCCTAACACCTGGGAGGAAGAGGCAGGAGGAACAGGGGTTCGAGGTCACCCTCAGCTATACAAAGAGTTTGAGGCTGAGGTGGGTTACAAGAGATCCTGTAGGGGGCAGAGAGAGGAAAGAGAGAAAGGAGAGAAGGAGGGAGAGAGAGAACACATGAATGCTGATTAGCACAGGTCTGAGACGGGTCTGAGGCTGCCCCTCAGTGGTGGGACACAGGAAGGAGACGAAAGTTACTACAAAGGCCCTGGCTGTTTTGTTTTTTGGTAAGAGTCAGCCAAGCAATGTAATGATGAGAATGTAAAGTGAACAAGAGATACTAATGAAATCCTATGCACCCCAGGTCTAATGTGGGGGTACAGTTAGTGTCCAAGAGACTGTTAGGCTTTGGAAAGGAGTCAGAAGCCAGATCTCCCCTTCAGATAGCTCCTTTCCGGGGACAAATGGTTCTATTAAGTTCCAAGGTCCATCCTGCACATGACTGTAGATGTAACCAACCGTCTTATTAAATAAGAAACACAGAAACAATGTAAAAGAGAAAGCCGAGAGGTCAGAGCTCAGAGCTAAAATCTCACCCTTCCTCCTGCTGTCCCAGCTTCGCGAAAAGAGACCTACCTCCTGTCGGTTCGTATTTTTAAAGTATGTTGTTCTGCCGTCTCATTGGTTGTAAACCCAAACACATGACTGCCTCGTCACTGTCTGAATGTACAGCCCCCTAGGTCTTAAAGGCATATGTCTCCAATGCTGGCTGTATCCCTGAACACACAGAGATCTTATGGGATTAAAGGCGTGTGCCACCACCGCCACACTCTTGCTATGGCTTTAATAGCTCTGACCCTGAACACACAGATATCTACGGGATTAAAGGCGTGTGCCACCACCGCCACACTCTTGCTATGGCTCTAATAGCTCTGACCCCCAGACAACTTTATTTATTAACATACAATCAAATTAATATTTCAGTACAAATCAAAATAATATTTCAATACAATTAGATTACCACCACACATGACCTTGACCATCTAACCTTTTCATGTTGATTTTTCCCAAGGACTTCTACAGCTCTGACCTCACAAGGTTACCTGCTGAGTGAGTAGATCACACTCATTCATTCCCCCACAGAAGAGAAGCCTGAGGCTCACAGACACTCACATGGCATCTCACAACATTCTTGGAGACCTGAGCTCCAAGGGAATCTGAACACATATAGGCAGGCAAAAGAGACACATACATGCAGGCAAGAACACCCACATACATAAAGCAAAATAAAAATAAAAAGAGGCCGGAGTGAGATGCCACTCTGCCTGGCCAAGATCCTTAAATATCCTCCCTCCTCACAAGTGGGGCTAGAGGCCAGGCTAGCTTACTTCAGCCAAGTATAGGTGGCAGGACTCTTGGGGCCTATGACTTGAGTCTCTGTTCCTCTCCATCAGTTTGCCTATTTGTGATGTGGGATAAAGACCTGTCTCAGAAGTGACATAAAGGCAAATTTTAATAGCGCATAGAAGCTGGAAGAGCACATACTTCAGACCTGGGGCTGGGGCTGAGCAGTAGAGGGGTGAGTACCAAGCATGCCAAAGCCCTGGGTTTGACCCCAGTACAACAAAAGACAAGACCACACCATGCCATAGGAACCACCATTACGGAGGGAGACAGTGACTCCATACACACCTGAACTTGCTTAGGGGAACCTGACCCCACTCCCTCCTCGCCCTTCAGACAAGGCAGCTGCGGCCCAAAGAAGCATGGAGGTTTATTCATTGTCACCAAGCAAGGCAGGGCAGAGCGGCACAAGCCCGGCAGGGCTCTCTTCCTTGCCCACTAATTTGCCAGTGGTGAGGACAAGATTTACCACTTACACCCTTCGAGACAGAATTGAGATAAAATTGGGCAAGGGACTGGCAAGAGGCTGGTCTCAACTCAGAAGGGCTATCGCCACGCCTGGAGACTTCCTACAAACTAATGGGTGGTCCAGAAGGAGGCTGGCTTCTTACCCTGGGGGTTGTGTGAGCAGGAAACCGGCCTGGGGTCCAGCTAGAGGCTGCCTTCCCTTACTCTGCAGCCAGCATTCTGCCCTCTCCCCATCTTGCTCCCCACATCCGGTTACTGGCGCTGAGTGTCTTTGGCTGGGACCGATATGGCCCTGGGGTTGGTTGGGGAAAGCATGCGCCACGGACCTACACGCAACAGAGCGGAGGGAGTTTGTCCCGTTCTCAAGGAGGCTGAGCTCTGCCCACCGCCCACGGACAGAGAGGCAGGGCTGCTGGGGACGGACAGACCCTCCTTCTTCATCAAGATCTGAAGTCAGGGAAAGCTGTCTGAAGGCGTGTGGTGATTGAAGACCTTAAAGTCTGAATCTGAGTCACAAGTGAGCTGCCCTTTCCTTCCGACTTCTACAACGGCCTTTGTGGCGTCTTTAATAGCATTTATCCCCAAGAGTAGCTCGAGGATTAAATAAATAAAATACATAAACTATTACCCGTACCTCCTAGGCAGTCCATATAGTCTCACTCATTTAGATGTAGAGTCCTACATTTAAACCGTCTGGGCAAAGAGGGACCTAACAGAAGCAGATGAGGGTGGGAAGAAGTTGACGCCTCAGTAACCAGAACAATTTTAGACTTGCCAGACTGCTGCAGTAGAGGCGGGAGGGGAGCTCTAGGGTAGATCATTGTTGCAGCAGGAGAGACC